TAACGCAAGCGATCCTAAGATCACCCCTAACACACAAGAAAAGCCCCAACACAGCCATCAGCTTCAAAGCACAGGCTCTACCTACCTCTCTCCAGTCTACGCATAAAGGCTTTACGGAAAAAAAAAAAAACATACAAACACCCAAAGAAAGAAAAAAGCAAGCAATCTTACTATACTGGTTATTTAGAACTGCAATGAATGCCTTCAACAGGGAGAATACTACCTCCTTTCATGAAGGGGAAGTGTGTGATATATATATATATATATGCATTAGAGAAATAAAATTGCCTAAGGATACAAAGAAAGTCTATGAAAGGTGGAGGAAACGGGGAACTGAAACCATATTTCAAGTGCCAGCCTGTCTGCTGGTTGCTGAGCAAAACTTTGGGGGAGGCCTGTCGTTCTGAATAGTTCCCCCACTAAGAGTGACAGCGTGATTTAACCCTGGAAGCGTCAAAAATGAGCGCTCCGGAGTGCCTGCAGAACCCATCGGGAGCTCTCTCTGCCACTACATTTAGGCTGCACAAGGGCTTTCTGTTAGCGCGGGCTTTGCCTAGCGGCCTTCCCAGAATGTAACGGCAATCCGTCCTCCGTTGTCCACTTCTGTCACGAGTCTCAGCCTTGGTCCTTTGCTCACATCAAAGTAAGCGTGTGCCTACTGCAAGCCTATTTATAGCAGGTGTTCCCTCACACAAAGGAATTTTTTTTCCTGTTCTTGTCTATCAAAAAAAAAACAAACAAAATCACAAAACCAAAAACCCACCCATAGTTCAAGGTTAAGCACAGTTCAGTAACTTCACACAGCTTTATTCTTCAGTGCACGTTTGTTAATTTAAGTTGCTCCTCTGACAAGTTACCACGTATGAACAACATTCAGTCGTATTTTTGACCAGCTGACACTCAGGAGCCCGCTATGGACAGAAAACTTCCAAACAAAAAGGGCCAAGCTTATTTCTGGGAAGTCACAAGCACGGCAGTTTAAGACATGCGTGACTTTACTCACAGGAGGATCTGCTATCTCTTTAATAACTACCACACCAAAACCCAAACTTCCCCGCCTACAAAGGCATAGTATTCCGGTGTCGCACTTGGCGCCGTAAAAAGACACCCATGAACTAAGCTAATATGTTATAGAAATTGAAAGGCTTTCGTTAGTATGCTGAACTCCTGCTCGGGGATTGCTTTTCTTCTTCCTCACGCCAAGAGCTGGCTTTTAACAACTTTTATGTTCGTTACAAACAGCTAGCAGTAATCACATTTATTCCTCTCCTCTTATAATTCTGTATCAGGTATCTTAATAGAGATTTTTAATAGCACAGTACTTATATGCAGAAATAATATTAGACTAAGGAGTATACTAGGGGAAAAAAAAAAGCCAAACCAGACAAGTGTCCAGAGCTACAGGACATATACAAGGGCTTAGACACCCAAAAGCTCATCATCTCCTCCAGCTGCACCAATGGGTCTAGCACCAGGCATTACAAAGGCCACGTCCTTAGTCTCTGCTACACCAGAGTATTTCAACGCTGCTTCTCTAACAGTCACACAAAATACCAGCATTTATATTTGAAAACTTTCTAAAATGTACTCAGTATGTAAAAAGTACTAGTAGAGACGCAACAGGGAACGAATGAAAGCAGAGACTGGTATTTCTGAAGTGGAAACTTTACCATCGTATGCTACAAGCTCCGACTGGCTGCTGGGAGGAGAGAGAAGGAAAAAAAAAAAAAGCAGCTTCTTTAAAAGCAGCGTGTCAGAGCGGCCGAGTTTATTCTGGTACCGCACACAGCACGGCTCGATGGTGCTCCTCAGACTGCTGGCAAGGTGCCCCCTTTTATACAGCCTGCCACGTACTGCACAGCGAACAGTAGTCCTCTCAAAGAGAGGAATGCTGTAATTTAGAAGCGCATTTGCTAGGAAAGAATGTTTGAAGGGGGAAAGCGATCATCTATTAAAAAAACAAAGCAAGCATTTTTTTGGTTTTCAGGAGGAATGATTCATCTGGAATCCAAACCAGCTCAAACAGCTCTAACAGCGATTTTTCTAACCAGTGGTTCTGCAAGAGAAGTTCAGTGACCCGGCATTAACAGCGTGATCCTTCTTAAAGCAGTCTGCCTTGGGGCTTGGTGGTTTTGGGGGTGGCTTTTCCCTCCTACTACAGATTTAGGTGTCAAGTTCCCTTGAAAAGTATATACATCCTAAACCATCTGCACATGGAGGAAAGCGAAGGCAAGGGGAAGCATGAGAAGGGAAGTTCCCCTCCGCCCTCAAAGTCCGCTCCTACCCTCGAAAAACTGTCTTTGCTAACTTTGCAGTGTGCAATGCCCCACTCGCGTGTGCGTTTCTTTCCAAGTCTAATTCCAGTTTCCAGCGAGACAGGGAATTAAAAACGTGATTTAAGTCTGTGAGTTCCTTAGGTACGCTGGAAGGAAGTCCCAGAGTGCCACCTTTTTGAGCACCAAACCTTACACGTTGAAGAGTCTCATTCACCAGGTACTAGCCCACGAGGCTCCGCTCCGGGCTTGCAGCTCACCGCACCGAGGCGGCAGCAGCACTTCGCAGACAACGGCTGCCCTCATACTTTATCACAGAGTCCCTAGGCAAGGTACAGCGGACGGTTACTTCCAGATTAAAGCCCTAGGAGAAACAGCGATTTTGTCATGTCGCAAAGCCAATAAGCAGGTGATGGCAAAGGGGATCTGGCTGCACCGTCAGCTGCACACATTCACGAGGGAATCGGCTTTTAATGGTGGCTGTGGTCTAGCTGTGGTTTTTCTGACTGCAGCACCTGCCATAGTCTCAGGGTGTAGCACTTCCCACTTCAAAACTGTAAATACAAAGTTCTTTTACTAAGGATCGTCTATTTCAATAGGGGCCAATTATGCATCTGAATTTCAATTAGTGATCCGGTCACCTTCTCTAATTCCTGTTATTAGCACATCAAGTTTGACAGAAACCGTGAGGGTATGTTCAAATGGATTAACAAGTTTCTTCAGTAAATGCTGCAGAGCGGTCTGTGCGTCACAGAAGACAAATCCTGAGACTGAGTAAATGCTTTCTTTAAAATACGCAGTCACAGATAAGCAAGACAGGCAAGACATGGACAGACTTTAAAATTAACAACAAAAAACCAGAAATTAAATGCAACGCATGTCAAACAGGAAGACGTATCGTTCCTAAAGTCATTCTGGAGGGGCCTGTGGAGGTAGTTTGAAGGGGCAAACACGTAAGAGCTCACCAGACAGTTTCCAAAGGTCTCCCACCACCTGCTGCTGAACGTGCACGGCAGTTTTCAACGTATAAAAGTTTTCAACTTGCCACTGCTTGTAACAAGCATGGCTTTAAGGATCAGACTTCAGCTACAATGGTTTTCTAGTTTTTCCATGGGAGTTATAATCAATCCTGAATCCATCAACTTCTTGCAATCCAGTATTTTGAAGCACTCGTATCTTTTTAAAGAAATTCATAGCTAAATAAAAACCCTTAAGCTACTAGCCACTCTAATTTCAGGTTTTTGCTCAAAGAAGCTGAAAGAACACTGGTTTTCTATTAAAGCAGCAACTATTTTCAATCATTTAAACAAGCAAATTCTTTAAAATTATCAACTAGCTTTAATTTGCACTATTCCCATGAATTACAGCAGCTCATCAGTGCCTACGTTTTAAGCAAGCCTCACTACCGAAGCTCAGGGGCAGAGGCGAGCTACACAGGCAGCCTCTTCCGCCGTTTGTTAGCGTAAGCAGAACCCCGCGCCGTGCTGTTTTAGTACGTTAGTT